TGTTTTGATGTAATAGCCATTTTAAAAAGCGAGTTTGGCGGAAGTTTTAAAATTACGATCTCAAACTTTGCTATGGGTTTTAGTAAATTCATGATTTGTTGTTATTAATGCGAACATCAGTTATATAATTTATATACATTTTAAAGATAATATAATGCTGTTAAAAAAAAATTGTAGTTTTTATCATAATATAAAAAAGCTAAGCTTTTAGTTTGTAAATCAATTCAGTTCACTTTACCCCTTATTTTTCTGCCTATTGGGGGTAAAGTGAACTAGTCTTTTTCTTATGTTTTTTCATCAAATATTTTTAGTAGAACTGAATATATAAATTGTAATTACTTAACTAAATTGTTTACTCTTAAAATAAGTTGTTTTTTTTTTAAATATTCTTAAAATTATTTTCAGAAATATAATATATTGAAATAATGCCAAGAAACTACATTAAGAAAAAAGAATCTCGAAGAAAAACACATGCACCTAATTTGTTGCAAAATGCCATTTCGAAAGTTAAAAATAAAGAAATGACTTCGTATGCTGCATCAAAAGAATATGGTGTTCCAAGAAGTACAATTGCAAGACATCTAGGCATAAAATGCTCAAAAGTTGGTGAAGGGCGACCAAACCGATTATCTGCTGATGCTGAAAAAGATCTTGTTTCACTTTTATCTGCATTTTCTGATTTTGGATTTGGATTAGATAAAAAACAATTTATGAAACTTGTTCAAACGTATATTGAATTAAACCGATTTCAGAAAAAATTTGTTAATGGTGTTGCTGGTGATCAGTGGTTTTGTAATTTTTTAAATCGTTGGCAGAAAGAAATATCTATAAGAACTCCAGAGCTTTTGACATTAACAAGAGCCTTAGCTTGTAATAAAACTGTAATTGATGCTTGGTTTTTATTACTTAAAGCAACATTGGAAAAATGTGACATTATGAATAGACCTGCCCAAATACTAAACTGCGATGAAAGTGGGTTTTGCACTAACCCAATAAATAAAAAAATTATTTGCAAAAGAGGTATTAAAAACCCTGTATCTATTGCTCCTGGATCAGGAAAAGAACAGTTTACTGTACTAGCAACAATATCAGCTGCAGGAAGAAATTTTCCTCCATTTATTTTATTTGCTGGGAAGAATTTGTATAAAGAGTGGATGACTGGTGGACCAAATGGTTCCTTATATGGGGTGACAAAAAACGGTTGGATGGAAACAGAAGTTTTCACTGAATACTTTAACCATCTTGTTTTATGGTTGAAAGACACACCCAAGCCTGTTTTGCTTATCTTTGATGGTCACATTAGTCATATTTCTTTAGAAACTGTTAAAAAAGCAGTTGAAAATCATATAACTATTTTGTGTTTGCCAGCACACTGTTCGCATTTGCTTCAGCCACTTGATGTAGGAGTCTTTCGCCAAGTTAAACATGTATGGCGTGAAATTCTGGCCAATTGGTATACCGAGTCAAGGCTGAAGGTGGTTGGGAAATCTGTTTTTCCATCTTTATTAAAAAAACTTTATGATACCTCCTTTAAGCCAGCTCATTTAGTACAATCCTTTGCCAAAACTGGAATTTTTCCCTTTGATCCATCTGCTATAGCATCTGACAAGTTAAATCCTTCTGAAATCTATGAACACCCTTTTTCTCAGAAAACAAATAACTATAATAATAACGTCCCTCAAAACATCGTTTTAGACACCAATGTCAATGATCAGAACGATACTTGTGAAAATTTTTCTATTGAATCAACAAATAAATACAATTCACAAAAAACTATAATATCAGTAGGAAAAGACTTAAACAATGAAAAAATAAATCAACTATCAATATCAAATGTAGATTGTTCTACTGGAAATAAAATCATTAGAGAAATAGTGAAAGAACAGTTAATGGCCACAAAGGGTGATGGTCGTTCATACAACAAACGACCTACAAAAAAAAATAAAAAGACACTATGGAGGTGAGTGTCTTACATCAGAAGATGCATTTAAAAGATTAAATGATGAAGAAAACGAATGCTTTAAAAGAAAGATCAAGCAGCAAGGCAAAATACAAAATAAAAAAACTAATTTATTAGAAATAACAAACACAAAAGAGTTAAAGATGAAGTAGTTCACTTTACCCCAATGTGGGGGTAAAGTGAACTAGTGGACATGTTTTTTTTGAATATATATTTAATATTGTAAAAGTAGCTTTTAATCTTAGTATTTTGTTTTATATTGTACCTAATACTTTAAATGGTATAAATTTTGAAAACTGCAAAATGTTTTGGCTTTTATTTTGAAAATATTTCCTTTAAATATCAAAAACAGTTCACTTTACCCCAGTTTACCCTATCAAATATTACAATCTAATATATTTAAAATGATATTGTTTGTTATTAATCATATATCTTTATATAATAATATTGATATAATGTTATTATATAACAACAACAATAATAATAATATAAAATTTTATCTTAAGGAAAAGAAAGAGACTTTATTCCATCTGAGCTATT